AACAATTCATTATTTTTTTTAACTCGCAAAATGTACCTGATAGTAATTTTGATTGTAATTTGTTTTTATTATACAGTTGTACAACGTTTTAATTTTTAACGATGTTYGAGTGGATCATGTTTTTTCAGACTACAAATTAAAATACAAACGTAAATTGTATAGTTAAATTTTAAGATGAAGACTGTTATATAATTCATACGATATATTATGTACAACAAATCAAAGCATTTGGTAAAACATAACATCATTGAATATAAGCAATAATGACTTTAATGAACGCGCCATTTATTTCTTGTTGTATAAGCATATTGAAATATCATAGAGGACATCATAGTTCTTTATGATATCAGATACGCATACATTCTTAAATATTGTATTTATTTGATAATACTCGTATGTGYAGCTATTTTGTAAAATAATTATTACTTGTGTTGAATAACTTAAAGGCTATCTATATAGATCATTTTAATATATGATATTGATTAACTCTAGGTATAAAATAACTTATGATCATTTTATGAATTAACCAAAAACTATTTACACAATACTTTTTCCGTCTAAATTAAAATATTTTGATTTAAAATGCACGCGACGACTACTAGTAGTACTAATTTGTGTTTTCGTTTTTTGAAATAACAATATATAGGTACTCAACGATATTTAATTATATACACAATTTAATATATTTTACTGTAATTCAACAACAACTTACCTAAACATTCTAAAACGTAGTATTTCGAATTCGGATACCGACAAAAATGAGATCGGACATACAGACATGAGTTTGTTCTCACTGGCCACGAGTCTTGTGGAAGTTTCGATGACTCTAATCCCTTAAGACTTAACCTGAACGAATCGCTGTGAAAAAAAAATAATAATGTAACTCCATCTGTTGAATAATCCATACATTGTGACGACAGGCCATGGCGTACTCAAGGAGTAGGGCGATACTTAGTACCTAGTATAAGTTATCGTCCAAAACTTAAAACTACTGTGGGCTTTAAAAAAAATCCCTATGTAATTTTTAAGCTCTGAAGTTTTTTTTTTTTTTTAACCAATGTATATAGAATCTCAATAACTTCTAGATGATTATATCGGTATTAATACGCACACATAAGTTTCGGACTTACCTGATATCTGAACTAGATGAAATGTCCATTTCGGAAGTATTCTTTTGTGGTCCACTCGGAGGGCATGTCAGACATTCCCATCCCATCGTGYTGTTAACGTTATCGGGTACTTTGTATAAATGCCTTTGTGACGGTTTCCCCTCCGGTATCGCTTCAAAGTATCTGTAAGTTTAAGTCTGCGTTTCTAAAGTGCAAAACTATTTAGCGAAAATTATACCAYAATTGTGCAAAAAACTGAACATACCATCAATAAACATTTTAATGTGCAACTTTTTTTTTATAAAGRGCGTTTGGAGGAATATGTCTACTTTTAACAGATTTATTGTTTTATACTCGATTGAAATTTTACGCTACACTTGGACTCTATTGGCACCATACAATTTTGAATCGTCATAATAAGGTGGTTTAACGAGTTTCAAATACGTAATCATTAAAGAATCAGTCAAACCAAACCACATCTGTTTGTCAGAAAAACGTTGTAAACGTCATATTGTTCTACGAAATATTGCAAATGGTGATAATAACAATTATTCGATTGAATCTCRAACATTATACTGATAAACATATTTTATTTTAAATTTCATATTCCGGGAAACGGATGTGGACTTATAAACCCTTCAATAGCGTTGAAGTCGACGGCGACGAGGCGATGCGGACTATACTATAGTATCGCAAGGTTTTTGTTTTGTCTTAATTACACGTTTAAAAAAGCGGGAAAGTGGGTATCGCTCTGCTGTACATTAGGTGGTGGGGTGGACCTTTGACTAGGGTAGGTTCGCTGCACATGAATTGCGTCCCGAAATCCCTTTTCCGCATGAATTGCGTCCCAAAGATATTTAACGACTACACGAATTGCGTCCCAACCATATTTAACAACTACCCGAATTGCGTCCCAACGTAAAAACATTATTTTCCTTCTCATTTCATACAGACT